TCGCAACGTCGCTGTCATTGTCGTGGCTGTATCGTGAGAGGGTGTCGTAAATCTTCATTTGCGGGTTGCTCGGGCTGATGAGACCCAGCGCCAGGGGCACGGCGCGCCTAATGTTGGGCTCGCCGTAGTGCATCAGGTGTCCAAAGTGTCGCAGGACCATCTCCTGGCCGACATCCTCGCCCATGGCTACAAGCGCGATACCCAGAACAGCGTACGCTTGCGTGAGCTCGTCGCCCTTCTTCTCTTCGGCCTCCTCCATGTGCTCGTTGCAGATGTGCAGCAGCTCCTGAATCTTGAGGACGGCACCCGTGCCAGCCCAGGCGCAAATCTCGGCCAGGACAGCGGTAGGCTTGGACATGGGATGGTCGACAGCCTTGAGGGTCTCCAGGATAACGTCCACCTCCTCCTGGCGGCCGAAGAAGAGCAGGCCCAGGCCAAGGGCCATGAATCTGGTCCACTTGGAGGTGAGCTGTTCCCTGCGCTCATCGTCCAGCAGAGTGGTGACGATCGCCTCGCTGACCTCGGGGTTCGAAGATCCGACAAAGATCAGACCGCAAGACAGCGCGGCCATGGCAGAAATGCGCATCTCAACGGAGGAGTCGGTGATGATGGGAAGAAGAATCTCCAGCAGGTCCTCCTTATTGGAACCTGCGTAGGACAGACCGAGACCCATGAGGCAGGCGGTGGTGACCAGAGGGTTCGTATCCGGGTTCCTCAGCTTGTCATTGTCGCCGAGGAGGGCTAGAGCCGGCTCGCTGTCCAGGCGCACACCGGTGTTCGTAATGCCGATTGCCAGCATGGCGCCAGCCATGATTTCGGGCTCTTGTGCGTAGGTGTACTTGTCAATCTTATCGAGCGCATTCTCCACATCCCACTGAAGAAGAGTGCCCAACGAGGCAACCGTCGACATCATGCCGTCGCCCTTGGTCTTCCAGACCCAGCTCTCCTTGTCTTCCTCCACGAGCATCATCTTGTCGTTTCCGAAGCCAGCGTTGACGAAGCCGTTGACAAAGGCTGCTGCAAGGTTGTGTCGCGCAGAGTCGAGGTTCGTCATGCCGGCAACGCGGCTGCTCTCGAGGTGGCTCTTGTAGATGTCCTCTGTCGTCTTGGGCTCCAGAATGTTGAGCTCCTTACCAAGGGACTTGAAGTGCTCCGACAACTTAATGTTCGTGAGCGAGTCCTGAAGCTCCTGGTCATCGCCGACAATCTCGTCAGGAAGCTCGAGCATGATGCGCTGGCGCGCGACCAAGAAACCGAGCTGCTTCTTCAGTGCAGGGTCCTGCGCCTTGTCGAAATCGGCCTTGATGAGATCGATATCGTTCAGTCGAATGGCCAGCACCATGGCTTGCGTATACTGCTTGTACGTAATGTAGATATCATGGGCCGTCTTGAGGAAGAGCTCGTTGTCTGGGTACGTGAGGAGGTTGACCATGCTGACCATGTACAGGCACACGCGGGCATACGTGTTCTCGTCGACATAGTTGGGCAGCTGCTCGATAATCTCGAGCTCGCTCATGAGGTCGACGGCATCGGCCTCTCCGTTACTTTGCAAGAAGGTAGGCACGAGAATGAGGGCGAGATCGACCAGATCCTTCGTGTCCTCATCTGCGACTATGCGCTTGCCGTAGACCTCTCCAATCTCAAGAGCCAGGTGGCGCGAGTACTCGTGGCCCCATGAAATAATGTCTGACGATGGCGCGAGAAGTCGGTACTTCAGGGTGTCCTGTCTCTCTTCGTCTGAGAAGGTCATGCCGATCACGGAGAGGACATCGGCGAGAGAAGTCTTGTCGTCACCCTCTGGCCAGTCTTCTTGGAGCTTCGTCAAAGTCTCGTAGTGCGGTCGCAGGAACTTCAATGGTTTTGGTACGGCGGTCATGGAAGAAGTCGAAGTCTTGATAGATGTCTTCATGGCCTCGAGAGCCGGTTTGTAGAGGGTTGCATCGGATTCCTAGCCATCTCGTTAGTTGCGTGCGGGGCTACGCTGATGAAGAAGAGGTGGCCAGTGACATACAGTCAGGCGCTCAACCAGCATGTCAAGCTCGTTCTTCAGTTGCTGGTCCTCCTCACTGAGCTCCTCTGCCGCTACAAACAGGTCAGTCAGCCAACGCCCGCGTGGTCCCGTCACCGACTATCTTTGAGGTCTTACAGTCGATGATCTTGCCATCCTCCTTCTTGCCGTTCGCGGCAGGCTTGTCGCTCTTGGGTTCGTCAACGGCCTTGCCCTTGCCCTTGTCGGCGGCCGTGGGCTTCTCAGGATCCGGGGCCATGATGTTCAAATCTCGCGGTGGTTGTAGGGCGGGCAGGGATCGAACGAGGGGCGCAGGTGCGTAAGACTAGGTGCGAGGACTTTCCGAGCGCCGAGTCGCTCTGTGAAAGTCTGCTGGTTCGGGGGTATACGATGGTGGTGACGTGAGTTGTTGGTGTGAAGGCGAGCAAGGTGAGGAATGACGGTGGATGGTGATGATGGAAGGCAATGGAGCTTTCTCACTTTCTCAAGCTCCGTAACAACAGCTACTGCGTTACGCGAGCCTTGCCGCCTGCCATCGCTGGACCGTGCATTGGCAGGGAGCTGGAGAGTCAAAGTCACGTGTGTTTAGTCAGCACAGAAGGAGTACCCACCCGCCCCTCGGCAGGACCTGGATGGGTGCGCTTATCGATACCAGCCTGAACCCCCACCAACTTTTTTGTGACGCTGTGTGAGAGATGTCGTGGATGAGATTGCAGGTCGTTGTTCATCAGTTTATACAGGCACCGAGCCAAACTATTTTGATCAATCCAATCCTTGAGGCCACGCATCATGAAGCTTGATACCAAGGCACTGCGGTATCTTGCATCCGAGGACTGGAACGTCCTCGCTGCTGTTCGTCTCACCCCCCAGGACCCCTCCTTGCCATCTTGTCCGCCCAACTGACAGCAACTGCAGGTTGAGCGTGGGAGCCGAGACCACGAGCTCGTGCCGACATCCCTGATTGAGAAGTATGCTCGCGTAAAGGGCGGCGTCAACGGGGTTCACAGGTCCATCTCGGCCCTCGCCAAAGTTGGTCTCATTGCGCGTGTCAAGGAGGCCAAGTATGATGGGTACCGCTTCACATACGGCGGCTTCGACTACCTCGCCCTTCACGACCTCTCAAAACGCAAGGAGATTTACAGCGTCGGAAGCCGCGTCGGCGTAGGAAAAGAGAGCGACATTACCATGGTGGCAGACCACGAGGGTGTTCAGAAGATTCTCAAGATCCATCGCCTCGGCCGCATCTCGTTCAGGTCCGTCAAGACGAACCGAGACTATCTCAAGAACCGCCAGTCGGGGTCATGGCAATACCTGTCGCGACTGGCGGCCATGAAGGAGTTTGCGTTCATGAAGGTCCTCCGCGAAGAAGGGTTCCCGATCCCCGAGCCTATTGCGCAGTCCAGGCACACGGTTCTCATGGAGTTTGTCGACTCGACGCTGATGCGTCAAATCTCGGCGGTCCCCGACCCGGCGACGCTGTATGGCGACTTGATCGACCTCATCCTTCGATTCGCCAAGCACGGTCTCATCCACGGCGACTTTAACGAATTCAACCTCCTCATCAAGGAAGTGTCTTCGGTCGAGTTCACCGAGTCTGGCGAGGAGAAGGAGACGATCACCCTGGTGCCCATTGTCATTGACTTCCCGCAGATGGTCTCCATGGACCACGTCAACGCCGAGATGTACTTTGACCGCGACGTCAACTGCATCAAGCGCTTCTTCGAACGCAAGTTCGACTTTGTCAGCACAACGCCGGGGCCGTTCTTCAAGGATGCAAAGAAGACGCTGGGCAGGGACGGCGTGCGGCGATTGGACGCCGCTGCCGAAGCATCCGGCTTCACGAAGAAGATGGCCAAGGATCTCGAAAAGGCGATTCGCGAGCAGGAGACGCTCAAGGCACAGAATGGGGGTCAAGACGATGACAGCGATGACGACGACGACGACGAAGATGGCGACGAAGACGAGGAGGGGGAGGGTTTTGGCAACGAGGAGACAGAAGGCACAGCGACAGACGCAGCCGGCAACACACTCGAGCAAGACCGGACACCAGAGACCGAGGAGGTCGACGCGCAGAGGTTATCGAAGCTGGCGATTGCAGACGGAACGTAGGCCACGTCGGGCACCCAAGAAAAGAAAATGAAAAGCAAAAGTTACGAGTTCCACGCATCAACCCTGTTCCGCCCGGTGAACAACCCTGACCTAGGTGAAGGGTAAGACATCCGCATCGCCAGTCATCACTCGTCCGCCTCATCCTCCCTCGTCCCTGTTCCATCTGCATATGCAGCCCGAGGGCCGTCTGTTTGGCTCAGCAATTGCGGATCCGTGACGGCATCACCTGACTTCATGCATGCGATACGCGGCCACAAACGTCGGTGGTTCGTCCGCAGCCTTCCCCAACGCCGCCGGCGAGGCGCCTCGCACATTGGCGTCTGCGGACCCCCAACTTGGATTTCGGAGAGCATCAGTGCCACCTTTGCCCGGGGGGAGGGGGTTGACAAAGCTTGGAAAGATGGAATGTTCGTTGACTACCAATGTTCGTTGGCTACCACCCGATGGACACTGCCGAGCATCCAGCCTAGAGAATGACTCCCAGCGCACAACCATGTGCTCTGCCAGCGAGGCTACGGGACGGTACATCCGCGGCCTCGTCCCGTTGGCGGGAGAGGAGACCGACGCACGTCCAGCTCGACGCCTCACTCTGCCCATCTCTCCAGGCATGGGCTGCTACATCACACATATCCCACGGTGCCGCCTGCAGTGTCATGCTTGCCAGCCATGTCTCCCAGCCTGTCAGATCCCAGGGTCTCTGTCTCTCCGGTCCATCCTGCAGGAGGGGATCGCAGGGGTGGCCCGTCAATGGTCATGTTTCACCCGTACTTGTTCCCCTCTCCGTCGCCTTGTGACACGACCCCCAAGTACATAATGGATTGGTTAGGCTCGTCATTTCGCTTTCCTTTCACTTCTTACCATCTGTATTTCTCGAAGTCTGGATCCAAGAATAGTATAGATCATCGAGTGCTCCTCGCGGGCCTCCTCCATCTGCACACGTCAGTTGTGATATCAGCAACAGGATACACATTCAACTCAAAAATTCTCACGATAGTTCATTCCATCATACAGCTGCTGCCACCACCTCTACGTCATCGTCAGATCCGCTTGGACGAGTCACCAGTCCCTCCGGCCACCGCTCCACCACATCGCACATCGCACATCGCCACCGCCGAGGGCCTCAAAGCCTTGATGTCGGTTGACCTCCGCACAAGCCTGAACTGCCTGCGCCACCCATCCAGGTTCATGCCTGTCTCGAGAACGCAACTCTCTCGAGTCCACACAGGCGACAGTATACAGAATTTACCCAGTGAGACGACAATCCCCCCCTCCGCAGCGCCGTGCCTCAATGCTGACCACAGCGTCTGTTGCTCCCTCGCAAGACGCAAGTCTCCTGACCGCCTAAGCCGCCGCCATGGAGACGCCCCTGAGCAAATCCAGCCTCGCGACCCTCGTCGCCGAGCCGCGGCCGTCGCTCGTGCCCCCGCGCTGGGAGGACACGGTGCGCGCCGTGGCCGTGGCCGAGAGCAAGCAGGCCGGCCTGTCGCTGGCGCACTCGTTCGCGTCCGACGCGTCGAGCCGCTACCTCCTCGACGTCGACGACATGGCGGCCCGCTCGGCCGAGCACAAGTGGAAGCTCCACGTCGACATGATGACGTACATCACGACGGCGCACGCCCTCGACGGCCTCGTCACGACCATTGGGCCGGACCACGAAGCCGTCGCACTGTGGTGGGTCAGCCCTCGTGGGTGCTGGAAAGCAACACAACGCGGCCAAGGAGAAGGCTGACGAAGACAGGGTCCCGCCCGGCAAGGACACGGACGGCTGGCTGAACCTCTTCCGCTCGGGCCTCTGGCGGCTCGCCTACCGGCTGACGCCCGAGGCGCGGAGGCGGTACAACGACGACTTCCTGCCGCTGCTGCACGACGCCAAGGCCGAGGTCATGGGCGCGCGCGACGGCGAGTGCTACTACCTCGTGTACATTGGCACCAAGCCGAACGCCCGCAAGAGGGGGTACGCGGGCAAGCTGCTCGACGACATGATTGCGCGGGTGAGTTTTGGCCGGTTCTCGTCAGGCGGGCAGCAGTGAAGGCCCTGGAGAAGCCATGAAGCGAATTAGCGCCGTTTGACTGACAGCGCGCAGGCCGACGCCGAGGGCCGTCCCATGTATCTCGAGTCGAGCTCGCCGGATAATAATGCCTACTACGCCAAGTTTGGCTTTGAATTCAAAAAGGACATTTACCTTCGGGGCAGCGGCGCGCCTGTGCCGCTTTCCATCATGGTGCGGGAGCCGCAGCTGGTGAAGCAGAAGCCGGTGTACGCTGCCGTCAAGGTCCAGATGAACCGCCTGCGCTAGATGGTCCGGCGGCTTTCGTTTCGTTTGATGTTTTGGTCTGTGTTTTATGTAGTGTGCCTCTGGATTGATGCGTCTGCTGCGCGGTCTCTTGTCACGTTCGTTCCTGTTGCTGTGCATGGCGTTGGATTTGGCACCGTCATTACTGCGAAACACTGTTGCTGGAACAGCTCGGTTGGTCATTAGTCTAGGCTTGGCCAGCTAAGGCCTTTCATTCATTCAGGTCATATCGAATGCTATCGCCCCCAGCTCAAAACATGATCAAAAATTGTCATCCATACCGGTCCACGCTGCAGGCATCTTTCCACCCAAGCAGCACCATGCCGGCATTCCGCCGTGCTAACAGCATGCTCAGGTCATGCTCAGGTCATGCTACGACCACCGACAGCCACCTCAATACTCGAGAATGGCCCACGTCTCGTCGTCAATGGTGGTATACACAAGCCCCTGGCCGAGCAGTTCGTCGGCGGCGCCGAGAATGTCGCGCATGCTCATGCCGGCGCCGCTCGCAATGACATTCATGTGCACGCCCTCGTTGCCGCCGGGCGCGTTGACGAGAAAGTTGTACATCTTCTGGCCCATGGGCGTGCACTGGGCGACCTTGATCGACTGGCCGGTGGCGTGTGATGCGTGGCTGTTGCCGATGTTGCTGTTGTTGTTCTTGTTGTTGTTGTTGCCGCCGTCGACAAACATGCCGGCGCCGTTGTCCTCGGCCTTGACACCGCCGAGGGGCCCCTTGGTGAAGAAGAGGTGGACGTAGGTGCTCTCGAGCAGGTGGTAGTTGACCTCGTTGAAGTCGGTGACGGCGCGGAGAAAGTGGGCGCCGACGTGCCTCTTGCCGTTGAAGGACTTGATACGCCCCCAGACGCGGACGTAGACATCGAGGTCGACGCCGGAGCCGGAGCCGGGCCCGCCGGCGACGCCGTCCATGAGGTCGTCGTCCTTCTTGTCCGTGTCGACCCACTTCTTGACCTCGAGGGTGGCGGTGCCGTCGTCGAGCTTGTAGGTGATGTTGGTGGCCTGGGGGTTGATGGCGCGGACCTGGCCGATGAAGGTGACCTGGGTGACGGTGGCGCCGTCAATCTTGAAGTCGGCGCCGGGGTAGGCCTCTTCGGCGTCGAGGATCTGCTTGATGGTGGCGGGGCGCAGCGACTCGTCTTGGTAGCCCTGTGCGTGTTGTAAGCGGGGTGCAACAGAGGGGGGGGGAAACGTGGAGCAAGACAGTACCTTGCCGCCGCCCTGGCTGCCCTGCTGGGAGCCGCCGTACATGAAGCCGCCCGAGTCATCACCGCCCTGGGCGCCGTACGCGGGTTTTTGGTAGCCTCCGTATGATGCTGTGCGGGTTAGAGGGGAGGTTCGTCGCGGTGGGGGTTGGGAGGTGCATACTCATGGCGGTAGTTGTGTGGTTAGGTGTGTTGTTGGAGGGGAGGACAAGGAGAGCAGCAGAAGAGGTGGAAAAGAGGGATCGAGAGACGCGTCTCGAGGCCGCTGAGACGCGACTGCCTTAATTGGATTTGCCCCTCACCTGTGGCAGGCAGGGGCACTGGGCATGCTCTTTCCCCTGGCTTTGGAGCGTCAGCTGGCAGCAGCTGTAGGCTCAGGAACTGCATTTGGCGGGGCTATCAGCTGGCAGCAGCTGATCACGCAATGGCTATACCAACGACTCCTGAATCTACACTTACACTGCCTTGCCTGCTGACGGGAACCGAGTAGGCGCCTTGTGAAAGCATGCGGCTGACTTGGTCTCTCGACAGGCCGCGCTCGTGGACGAGGTGTTCAGACGGCGGGCTCTCGAGAAGGGGCACCTCATCCTTGGCGGCCGAGAACCACCAGAGGCCCGATGCGCCGGCCAGCCGACCGAGCGCGATGGCATAGTTCGCTGCGGTCCCCTTTGCAGATGATGCCGAGGGTCTGCTCGATAAGTGTGAGAGCCTTGCGTGCCCAGATGGTCGTGAGACTGGTGAATGGGCAAGGCGAACCCCTCTCAGCCAGACACGCGTGCGCACACGTGACGAGAACATGTCCAGAGTGCCCCGATGGTTGTCCGGTTCAGATGTCGTAGAATTCTGGTGACAAGTCAAAGAAGACTCTGCCGCCAGGAACAGGCAAGATCCAGAGCTCAACTTGAATCAGAGGAGGGAAGTAAAGGGAGGGCGAGGCTGCTGTTGCGTCTGAAGAGCGGTCCATCCCTGTCATGGTTGCCAGCTGCCAGCCCCTGACTCCCCCCTGGAGCTTCCTCCTGGAGCCTGGCAAAGGCAAGCCTGGCAAGGTCGAGAACGGCGATGAAATGCTGGATTCAGGGTACAGTTAAAAGATTGGATCAGTTATGAACATCTCGAGGCTGGAGCCATGAGGGACCAGTTATACTGCAGCATCATCCACAAAGTTGCACATGGTCATGCAGTTCCTCCCCCAGTACACTCAGGCGTATGATCATGAAAACAGTTTCAAATCTCAATACAAATCTCAATACAATCTATTAGCTATATCGTCACCTTCTATCCTGCTTCATTTACAGTAGACTACGAGGCATGTACAAGCATAAATCAGAGTCGACACGGCTGCCCCCCGCTTAGGCCGTGCACGTCTTGGCCCCCTTGCTGGTCTTGGTCACCCAGCTCGTCACCGTCGACTTGACCTCCGACGTCTTCGTCTTGGTCACCGTCGCGCGGTTCGTGATGGTGCCCGAAGGCTTGACCGTCGAGCGGACCGTGGTCCAGCGCGTGGCCGTCGACGCCGGCAAGATGACAGTGTTGGTCTGCGCCGAGTTCTCGCGCACCGTCACCGCCGCCGTCTGCCGTGGCAGCACGACCGTGGTGTGACGCGTCTGCGTGCGGACCACGTTCTGGATCGCCGCAGGCAGCGTTGTCGTCGATTGCACCGTCACGGTACGAGTCGACTGCACCACCACCGACACGGTAGCCGGCTTCAGAGTCGACGTCTTGCCAGCCGAGACGACAGCCGTGGCCGTCGTTGTCTCGGTGCGACCGGGGAGCGTCGTCGTCGTCGCCCGCGTCTGCACCGTCACAATCGTCTGCGTCGCCGTCACAGCCTTGAGCGTGACAGGCTTGCCAACAGTCTTGGTCGTGACGAGCTCCGTCGTCGACGTGCTGCCAGGCAGCGTGACAGTGGCCGTCTTGACGTAGGTGCTGAGCGTCGACAGGACGGTCACAGTCACAGTCACGTCACCAAGGGCGCGAACCTCGACATAGGCAACCTCGGGGTCGCTTTCGTAGTCTTCAAAGTCGTCGCGCTTGGAGAAATCCTCAAACTCAAACAGGTCGCGCTTCGTCGGCGCCTTGGTCGGGATGCACTTGATCGTCGTCGTCTTCTTGGCCCTCGAGACGACAGTCTTGAACACAGTCGTCGAGACGGTCAAGGCCTTGGCAGTCACGGTGGTGACGCTGCCGTCGCCAATGACAATCGTCGACGTCGACTTGACCGTGACGGGCTTGCGAGTCGTCGTCTTGGTGAAAAAGGCCGTCGAGCGGATGACCTGCGTGGTGGTGACGCCCTTGGGGGTGCTAGTCGCCGTGCTGGTCGTCAGCGTGGTGGAGGTGATGGTCCTGGGCTCGGCAGTCTTGGTGACGATGATCGTGTTGGTCGACGTGGCGAGCGAGGTGGACGTCTGCGTGACAGGGTTGGGTGTGACGGTCGTTCCGACATTGACCGTGATGGTGGCCTTGCGGACAATCGTGGTGTCTGGCTCCTGGACAGTGGCCACATTAATCTCGGTAGAGCGGATCAAAGTCGTCTTGGTTTCGACGGCAGGTGTGATGGTGGTGGCGGCATCGAATGTCGCAGTAGCCTTGAGCGTCACCGTCGTGTCAAGAGCCTGGACAGTAGTACTTGTGGTCTCCTTCAGGGTCGACAGCTTGGTGGTAAAGACAGTCACAGTCGTGGCGGGAACGGAGCTCGTTGTCGATGTCGATGTCGATGTCGTCGTCGTTGTTGTTGTTGTAGCAGACGTGGCACTGATCGTGGCACTGGGTAGCACAACGGCACCGGCCTTGAACGGCGTGGCTGAGACCAAAGTCATGTTGATCCACGAAATTCCCGCCGGGAAGAAGGTCGCCAGCTCGAACTGGGCCGCATCAGCAGCCGTGAGCTTGGTGGCAAAAGCAGCACGGGCGCTCAGATCAGAGCCGGGACCGTCGTTGGCAAACTCGCCAAAAATGGCCCCAGCCGTGCGAGGATCATTCTTGGTCCAGTGATCCCAGCCGTTGGCTTCGATACACGAGTCGAGGAAGCTGTCGATGTAGGCCACGCGAGCGTTGGCGTTCCAGGGCCTACCAAGCGAGACGGAAGTGTACTTGGCTCCCTTGGCAGGCGTAACGGTGCACTGGTCGAACACAAAGCCGGCGGGGGTTGTGTCGGTGGCGCGCTTGCTGGCCGTCAGGGCGATGCCGTCGCGGTTCGGTGCGATGGTGCTGGCGAGGAAGTACGCGGCGCCACTGCCCCAGATCATGTCGACGTTGCCCTCAATGTAGGAGTGCGAGGCAAAGAGGAAACCGTTGATGAGCAGGGCGTCCTGGTTGCCGTAGACCTGGCAGCCGTACAGCGAGGCGTACTTGCTGCTCTTGACACCAAAGCCGAGCGAGGCATAGCTGGGAATCAAGTGTTAGTCAGAGCGTCGAAAAAAGAAAATGCTTGTGCATGTCTTCAACTCACTTGGATGCGGTGCCAAAGGTGTTGGCAAAGTTGATGTTGACAGCCTGCAGGTAGTTACCAGTGGCGTAAACAGTGGCAGAGTCTGAGTTGGAGGCGTCGGCCTGCGTGTCGATGCCCTTGTCGAAGCTGATGGTGACCTGGTTCTGAGAGTAGTCGCCAGAGTTCGAGCTGTAGCCAATGAGGATGGTGGTACCAGCCCGCGCGACGATCAGCTGCTCGTTGTACGTGCCAGGGTAGATGAAGACGGTGGGCGTGACCTGCTTCGAGGTCGGCAGGGCGTTGAGCGCGGCCTGAATGGTGTCATACGTGGTCTGACCAGCGATGGGCGTCTTGGAGACGATGAAGGCGCCGGCAGGAGGCTTAGTGCCGTCATAGACAGTGGGCGTAACAGGTGTCACGGGTACCACGGCGGGCTGCGGCGTCTGGATCTGGTCCCAGTAGGTCAGATCGATCCAGTCAGTGCTGGACATGACCTTGCTGAGGGGGTAGTCATCGGCGGTGAGCAGAGAGGCGCCCCGGAAAGTCGCACGAGCGGCAGCGTTGTTCTCCCAGTTGCCCGGGCCGGCGTTGTTGTACTCGGCAAACGTGATCGAGTCGTTGCGAGGGTCAGTATTGGACCATACCTTCCAACCAGCGGGCTGGATAACGTCGGAGAGGAAACTGTTCTTGACGACGACAAGCGCAAACTTGGAGTAGGGCCGGCCGAGGTAGACCTGGCCCTTGAGATCGACGGTGGCGGTCGGGGCCTCGGTGAAGAGACACTGATCAAAGATGTAACCGCCAATGGCAGTCAGGCTCGCACGGCTTTGAGCGGTGATGGCGGACTTGGCTCGCTTCGCGGCAATCGTGCAGCCCTTGAAGTAGGCCTTGGAGTAGCCCCAGATGAAGTCGATGGCACCGTCAATGTAGCAGCTCTCGTAGTACTGGTTGCCAGCCGTTGCGCCCGTCAGGAGGGTGTCCTGCCAGCCAACAAACGAGCAACCGTAGAAGCCAATCTTGTCGCCATAGACGCTAGCGGCGAGGGAGACGTAGCTGGGAATCGCGCCGTCCAGGTTCTCCGTGTTGACGAGGTTGATGTTGTACCAGGAGATCTTGGAGCTCGCCGTAGCAATGGTTGCCGTCTCGGAGTTGCTGTGACCGGCAGGCGGTGGGGACACGGACAGACCGCGAGCCTGGGTGATGGTGACCTGATTGTTCTTGTAGCTCTTGCCAGGGGCATCACTCGTGTATCCAATGATCATGACAGGTCCCGGGCGGTTGATGCTAGGCACCTGCTCAGTGTAGGTACCGGGATAGAGGAAGATGATTTGGTTCGACGAATCCGATGGCAAGCTAGCCAGGGCAGCTGTCAGGCTGTTGAAGGTTTCCGCGGTGCTGCCATCAGCGCGGCGGGTGATGGCGCCAGGAGCGCCCACGATGACGGCGCCAGCAGGAGGCTCGGTGCCGCTCGTCGGGTGCGTGAGCACGACGGGGGTGGTGGGCACAGGACCCGGCACGTCGGCAGCTCCAACTGACGTGAGGCTGTAGCTGGGAACATAGGCAAACGCCTTGGCATCCAGCCAGCTCGTGCTGCCAATGAAGGTCTCAAGCTTGTACTGGGAAGCCTGTGCCTCGGTGAGCTTGGTGGCAAAGGTGGCGCGCGAGTCAGTCCAGTTGCCAGGTCCAATGTTGTTGAACTCGCCAAAGAGAACATTGTCGGTCTGCGGGTTGCTCGTTTGCCAGACGCTCCAGCCTGCAGGGGAAATGTGCTTGTCCAGGAAGGAGTTCATGTACACCGTGACGGCATACTGCGACCAAGGACGACCCAGAGCAACGGTACCGAAGTTGGTACCGTAGCTTTCGGTGTAGGTGATGACGGACTTGTCAAAGACGAAGCCACCAGCCCACGCGGCATTGGGTCTGTTCTGGGCAGTAATGTACGTCCTCGGGGTGTTGGAGGCGACGTAGCATTGGTGGAAGTAAGCCTTGCTGTAACCCCAAATAAAGTCAACACTGCCCTCAATGTAGCTGTTGCTGAACACCTGAACACCCTGGTTGACGAGAAGGGTATCCTGGAAACCATCGAAAGCACATCCGTACGCCGCCATGTTGGCGCCGAAGAAGTCACCGGCCAGCGCCGCTGTGCTCGGCTGCTGAGGGTACGTGTTGGTGAAGTTGATGTTGTACAGGGCCAAGCCGTCACCGTTGGTGTTCTTCCAGTTGAGAACGGGTGTCTCCTCGTTGCGTCCCGCGCTCGTGGACACACCACGGCTGAACTTGATGTGGACGGCGTTCTGGGTGAAGTCATTCTCGAAAGAAGTTTCACCACGGAGGGTGACCTTGCCACGGCGCGTAATGCTGACCTGCTCCTCGTACGATCCAGCCTTGATGAAGATGGTGTACTCCTTGCCGTCCGCAGGGAGGGCCGCCACGGCAGACGCGACAGTGGCATACTCGCCAGTCGCGGGAGTGGGCGCAACGGTCAAGGTGTTGGAGGGAGCCGAGGTGGTAGTGGTAGTCGGAGCGACGCTGCTGGCGCCCGACGGGGCGCTCGTCGTCGTCGCAGACGTCGTCGTCACGACAGGCGCGGCATAGACCGAGTCTGGCCAGGCTTGCTGGGGAGCAATGGCAGGGGCATCGAGCCAGGCGTCGTCGCCGAGAACCTTCTTGACGGTGTAGGCGGAGTTGTCAGCAAGCAGCTTGACAACAGAAGCACGAGCAGTGGTCACGGCACCAGGGCCCGTGTTGTTGGCCTCCGCAAAGGTGCCAATGAACGTGGTGGGGGCTCCGATCCTCCAGCCGACGGGGTAAATGTGGGCATCAAGGTACGAGTTGACGACAGCCACCTGGGCGTTGGTGCTGTAGTCCCTGCCGAGATAGGTGCCCCGCTGAGGCACGGTCTTGTCCTTGGGAACAATGGCGCAGCCATCGAAGACGATCTGAGAGCCACCAAAAGAGTTCTGGTACCTGTTCGCCGCGATGGTCTGGCCCGTGTTGGTAGACTCCCTGGACACGATGACCGAGTTGTAGAAGTAGCCGGCGCCAATACCCCAGACGAAGTCTGTGGTGCCCTCAATGCGACCACCGCTGAAGAAAACGTTACCGTAGTCAAGGTACAGCGAGCCCTGGGTAGACTTGACGTTGCAGCCGTAAAAGGCGACCTTGGTGCCCTTTGAGTAGGCAGCAATCGCGATGTTGTTGGTCTGCTGAGCGAACGTGTTCTCAAAGTTGATGTTGTAGAAGGTCACAAACTTGGCCTCGTACTTGTTGGCCGAGAATGTGGCCGTGCCAGCAGAGCCGCCTGCGCTGGAGAGAACGCCGGCCGCATTCTGGATGGTGACCTTGTTGGCCGACGAGGACAGAGCGTTGTCGGTCTCACCGCGAAGGATGGTGGCGCCGGTGCGAGTCAGCGTGACCTTCTCATTGTACGTGCCAGCCAGAATGTAAATGTGCTGCGTCGTCGTGTCGGCGGGCAGCGCGGCAACAGCAGCAGCAAGGCTGTTGAACGTGGCACATGATGAGCCAACGGGGCCGACAATCAGCGCAGTCGAAGGGACGGACGAGGGTGCGCAGGCAGCAGCTGTGGTAGAGACAGCAGATGATGTGTCGATGGTGCTGGCAGCAGCTGTCGTGAATCGACGGACACGGCCGACGTAGTCGAAGCCGCAGCCGCAGCCGTGGCATCAGACGAAACCTTGTTGACACTGGCCGCGACGGACGACGCAATGTTAACGCTGGAGGCGACAGATGAGGCAGCGTTGACGCTGGGAGCGACAGATGAGGCAGCATTGACGCTGGCGGCGGATGAGGCAACGCTGACGCTGGCAGCGGACGAGGCAGAGTTGACGCTGGCGGCAGCAGATGAGGCGGAGTTGACGCTGGCAGCGGATGAGGCAACGCTGACGCTGGCAGCGGACGAGGCAACGCTGACGCTGGCGGCGGATGAGGCAACGCTGACGCTGGCAGCGGACGAGGCAATGTTGACGCTGGCAGCGGACGAGGCAACGCTGACGCTGGCAGCAACAGACGAAGCAGCAACAGACGAAGCAGCAATAGACGAAGCAGCAACAGACGAAGCAGCAGCCGACGAAGCAGCAACCGACGAAGCAGCAACAGACGAAGCAGCAGCCGACGAAGGGGCAACAGAACTCGTCGTCGCGGATCCAGAGGGGCTCCTCTGGATCGAGCTCAAGACGGCGGCATCCACCCAGTCGACGCCGGCGACGGCCACACTGGGATACAGGCCCGTGTAGAAGGCGGAAAGCTCATAGGGCGCAAGCTTGGCGACGTCGGTGGCGAGGGTGACGTAGGCGGCGCGGGCGGCGGCCTTGTTCGCGTAGCTGCCGGGGCCGGTGGTGTCGTACTCGATGTAGGTGTTGCGGGCGTCCTGGGTGTTGGTGTCGACGTAGACGCCCGAGTTGGCGACGAAGCCGGCGATGGACGTCTCGCGCCAGACGACGGCGACGCCGACACCGTTGGCGGCAGCCAGGAAGACATTCTTGTTCGTGGTGCCGGCCTTCTGGATGATCTGGCACGTGTCAAAGACGACGTTGGAGTTGTACAGCTTGCCCGAGGCGGTGTCGGTGAAGCCCTTGTTGTAGACGACGAGGGCATTGTTGTTGGTGGCCGTGATGGTGGAGCCATAGACGTAGAAGCTGCCGAAGGACGAGAAGATCTTGTCGGCGGCCTGGACGTATGAGTTGGCAATGAGACCAGAATTGTGGCTGCCGGCGAATCCAATGCTACCAGCAGCGGTGAGCTGGCACGAGTAAAAGGCGTGCTTGGAACCGCGCAGGAAGGCAATGCCGGCGGTGGACGCGGCATTGGCGTTGGCAATGTTGACGTTCTTCCAGGTGACACCCTTGGAGGTGCTCGTCAGGAAGTTGATGGGCGGGGTGGTACCGGAGGCACCGTTGGTGATGGTGACGAGATTGTCCGAGTACGTCTTGCCCGTTGAGGCCGTCTCGCCGACGATGGTCACGGCGGCGGTGGCTTGGATGGCGATGGCCTCGGTGTACGTGCCGGCCAAGACAGTCACGGTAGGGACGGCATTGGCCTGGGCGTAGGCGATGGCCGAGTTGATGTTGGTGAACTGGCCGGATCCATCCGAGGCGACGGTGACGGCTGGAGACGCATTAGCAGTGGTCGTCGTCGTGCCAGTGCTGCTGCTGCTGCTGCTGCTGCTGCTGCTGCCACGCGAAGTGCTGGTCGAGAGGCTGGTCGAGGAAGTGACAGAGGAAGAGACGACTGATACAGAAGAGGCCGATGCCGAGAAAGTAGGCGCAACAGACGCAGGAGATACAGCAGCAGCATGTACCAGAGCAGAAAAATGAGCGAGGGCTGCAGCCGAAGAAGCAGATGCAGAAGCAGATGCAGAAGCAGGCGGGTTGGGGCGGCGGGCCGGGCAGACCAAATCACCAGAAGGAGGGGCAGCAGTGTTCGCACCTTCAGCGGCAGCAGCACTTGGCCGGCAGAGGCCGAGCAGCAGCAGCGAGAGGACGGTAGCCTTCATGCTGGCGGATGGCGATCAGCGGCGGCGGAGGGCCCGGGGGGGAGGGGGAGGAGGGCGGTCGAAACACGTGTGAAGAGGTGGGTGACTCGGCGGAGGGCCGGAGAACGATGGGCGTGGGGGAACGAGCATCGAGAGGAGGGCATCGCAATCGACGTCGCCGGGCCTGGGGAAGCAGGTCCATCTTGTATGAACGGCACGAATGCCAGCCAGATGCCGGGGCTACTTGGTGTCGCTGTCTGTCAGTCCATCGAACGACCCTGCTTCTCCAGAACGAGGCGAGGCCATCGCTTTCGACCGATGAAAATGATAGTCTAGCTCCATGTCAAGCTGTGAGCTGAACTCGGTTCGGCCTCATCGTGAGGCCCCTGACCCCTGCGGTTATGGTCAGAAAAGCTTGGCCTGGACTTCTTTTGGGGGGGAGGAATATCAGAGCAGACGGGGAGGCCTACCGGCTAGTTCCTCATCTTGGGGGGGGACCGCATTGCTGGGAACGCCTCTCGTTAGCTGGCCTCCCGTATCGTTGTCCAACCTGGTGGCCGGCAAGGCTTCTGTGCCTCGTCTCGAGTTGGAATCGTGCTAGGCGTCCCAGGAGAGCTGGGCCATAGACGTCGCTGTCGACGGGCTGTCCATGGGCCCATGGTCCATGGGTCCATGGGGAGCATTCGCGATATCGGGGGGGTCGGCGTGATCGAGCGCTGGCGCTAAGGAATCGATAGCCTCAGCGTGCCATCGTCCCAGTCGAGCACGATCAAGCGAACGAGTGGATACTGCATGGTGTGTGTTGGTTTTGGGAGTCGTTGCAAGACTGAGGTGAGGTAGGCCAGGAAGAGCGGCAGTTGTCTTGACGAGGCTAGGATATGGGGAGTGGAGCCAGTGCGAGGTCTCGGCAAGGGCAGACGGCGAACTGGGGCGTTGAGTGACAAGCTTTCCCACGTGGTGCTGGCGTGTTGGCATGCTGGCGTGCTGGCGTGCTGGCGTGCTGCAGGGGTTCGAGGGGGCAAGGGGGCAAGGGGCAAGGGGCAAGGGCGCCGTGCCTGGGGCTGAGGGCGTAGAGGCAGGGGGCCTCGTTAGGGCCTCTTGGGCCTGTCCGGTGCCCCAATTGGGCCTCTGCGGCGCTACGGCCAGGGGTTCTGGGGTTTCTGGGGGTTCTGAGGGTTCTGAGGGCTCTTTCCACTACCTAGGTGCACAAAGGACCATGTCGCTCCTCCGAGTCATGGTGGGGTCTTCTTCTTTTTTTTTTCTTTAGGGTCTTTAGTCTTTAGGGTCTTTAGTCTTTAGGGTCTTTAGTCTTTAGGGTCTTTAGTCTTTAGTCTTTAGGGGCCTCCCAGGGGCCGAGGTGCCGGGTCTCGACTGCGAAATGTGCATTGGCCCGCCCTCGGAGATCCCCCCTCTCCCTGGCCCGGCCTTGGAGAGAAATGCTTGTTTGCGACCCGAATTTGCATCGTCTTCCCTTTGTCCTGAGGATCCGGCTGCTCCCGCCCTACCACTCATTGTTCCGACCTGCATTGCAACGATCATATGCGATGGGCCGCCTTCCTTACTTCTTCTTTATCTGCGCTTATCTTCTCTCCCCCATGGTAAGCTTGTTGGTGCATTCCCTCCCTTGCCGCTAGACCCCATGCCTCGCGAGAGGAAACTAAGAAAGAAAGAGAGACAAAAAAAGAGACAGCATCTCGCATGGTCGCGACGTGTTCGTGCAAGCCACTGATGCTCCTGATAACGGCTGTCAGACGCCCGCTCATGCCACGACGCCAACGACTGCTGCGTTTCCCCCCCATCCCTCATGGCACCCTCGCCTATCGACGGGGCTTCGCACCCAAAATGGGTCATGGTCCCGGCGGCTTGTGACGCCAGGCCTGCGAGCTACTGCGCGCTTCAGCCGACAAGCTGAAGCGAGCACCAGAGGCCTAGACTGCATGGGCCATGTGGCGTGGGCTCCCTCGCCTGATTGTCTGCTGCGTGCCCGCCGGTCTACTATAAGTTCGACCTTGAGGGATAAGCCGATGTGAGACATCCGTCGGGTGACCCGAGGAAGGGTTTCGATTTTTTTTTCTCTCCATCGCGACTGACTCTGCAGCTTCTTGACAGGTCCGACTTGACAGGTCTCAACTTGACAGGTCTGTGTCGAGACCCTTCGTCAAGCGCGCGGGAGGGGGAACTAGCCGATTAAAGAACCCAAGGGGTTCCTGCTCCACTCAGACCATGGCAACATTCGTCAGCAGCGCCGCCGGCCTCGCGAGGCGTCACGGTTGGTTCGAGGGACGCAAGGGAACGTGGAATGTCTGGTGCCGTAACGAGAAACGTCCATGAGGGTTTTCGTGGAATTAGGGAGGACCTTTACAAAATCCCATGCACGCGAATGTGCAACATGTCTGCAATGTGGAGGAAATCGCATCAGGGGGCGTAAAGGTTGGCATGGAGATCACAGAATCCCATGTACGCGAGCGTGGCTGACATGTCTGCGGTGGAAGATGAAATGCATGCTTGTGCGCCATGCTCCATCCGCCACTTTCTTTCGCCTGTCGAACTGCGATGACACCTGTTGCTTGTCAGTAGTTGCCTGGTCAGGATCTAATCATACCACACGCCAGGCAAGCCCCCGCCATGCTCTTGAATGTTGAGTGTCCTTGCTTCCATTGTAGGAGAGCCAACGAGATGGAGCGACGTTTTCAGCTGTGCTTGTCGCAACAGGGCATGTAGCTCGACTCGTGTTTGGAAACCATTTGCCGAAAGGCGAGGCCGGTATCGTGGCCGCGCGGCTGCCTTGCCCCATGGCCTTTTCGTCACTGGTGCTGTGGCGTTTGCGCTTTGGCTTGGCAGGCAACACACTCATTTCGATGAGGCAGAGGCAGGGCCGGTATGAGCTCGCGGTCTGATCGCGGCAAAGATACCATCGATGAGAGGGCAAGTTGGGCCTTTGGAGTCGCTGATGTGCGCCATCTAGGTCAGCCAAGAGGGTGGTTCGTGAATATTCCAGCAGCAGGAAAGGGAATCTCCCTCAGGAAACTCCCCTGCTCGATGCAAGGCTCGGCCAGTCTTCGTCCCGTTGGTCTGTATTCGGCCTTTGCTCCTTGGAAAGCTCATCGATGGGGGATGTAGGTCAGTGGTAGACTGTTCGCTTCGCATGCGAAAGGTCCCCGGTTCAATCCCGGGCATCTCCACTTTTGCATTTTGCTCTGGTGAGGTTTCGAGACGCACAGTCTGGACTCTGGCGAGTGCTCTGACGAGGGCTGGTGACAAGGAGCGAGTATAAGACCAGGTTGCAGTGGCACGTGTCTGGCAGGTGGCATGAGCATTCGATGACTCTTTTGACGAGCAGTCACCAGCTGAAAAAGCCAACAGGTAACGAGGATCAACTGGCCGACCTTGCTGAGTGGGGTTGGTGTCGTGAGCTCGATGAAGCGGATCCTCGGAAGAGGCTAGCAAGGCTGGCCTTCGGAGGTCGTCTGCCCGTTTCACGTGACATGGGATCACATGTCTTAGTCAGCCGCGTCAACACGATCGTTTCGATGAACGACTCATCAACCAACATCACCACCAGCCTCACATCTCCCACCTCGTCTCTCGCCCTTCCATCACACGCCTTCGAAAACATGCGCTCGCCATGAAGAACGGTCCTGCCGACGGCTCATCACCGGCACAGGGCCCTCCCTACGACCCGACGACAGGGTTCCCCTCGACCGGCGTCCTGCCCGTGGTCCCGCCCGATCTGCTGCCAGACAAAAACCCACGAAGCAACGCGGCGACGGCAGCATCGGCAGCGGGCGTGCGGGCCCTCAGCGCCCAGGCCATCGCCTTTTACTTCCGCGCCCCCGTCAAGGCCTTCTTCCGCACGCGCGTCGACTACCTCGCCTGGGCCCGCAGCGTGCACCTCGACCAGATCCAGCAGCAGCTGCAGCGACGCGATCCGGCGTCGGCGGCCGCGCGGTCGCGGTTCCAGAACGGCCTGCGCCACACGTGGGACTGGCTGCGCGGCACGACGCCCGGCGTCCTGACGACGGCCATCCGCCGTCACGGCTGGGGCGTCGTGCCCAACCAGATCCTGCCGCCGCTGCTGGCCAACGTGACACGTCGGCGCCGTCCTCTACACGAGCTACTCCCAGATCCTCGGCCCAGCTGCACGAGCAGAGCGCGAGAGCCCGCCGCACCGTCTACCCGCCGCCCGAGCCCGTCCACACCTTCACCGCCGGCCTGCTCGCCGGCGCCCTGCAGAGCCTCGTCGCCGCGCCCCTCGACGCCATCCAGGCCCGCTACGACCACCGCGACCTCATGCCGCCGGCCGACGGGCGTGCCGCCGCCGCCCCCAAGAGCATGTGGACCTTCAGCGCCGAGAAGCTGCGCGAGATTGGCCCCGGCGGCATCTTCGCCGGCTACGGCCTCTCGCTCCTCAAGGACGGCCTCGGCAGCGCCGTCTTCTTCAGCACCTTTGAGTACGTCAAGGCCCAGAGCTACTACCGTTTCGTGACGTGGTACTACGGCGACCTCAACGAGGACATGGCCAACCTTTTGGCGACGCGGCGGCCGACGCGCGCCGGCCCCCGCGCCGACGACAACGACGGCATCACGCCCCTCATCATCAAGCCGCACTACGCCATCGAGCCCCTGTTCCTGCTGCTCGCCGGCGTCACCGCCTCGTTCGCCCAGCAGGCCGTCATGCACCCGTTGACGCACTTTCAGCTCGAGCACTGGGACCACCTCGAGGACATTGACCAGAAGACGGCGACCATGCGGGCCGACGCCGCCGCCCGGGGCGGTGCGCCGGCCCGGGGGTCCATCTTCCGCATCTACTACCACGCCTACCAGGAGACGTGGGCGCAGTGCGAGGCGGCCGCCGCCGCCCAGGGCCGGAGCGTTCGCAGCTGGCTGTACCGGGGGTTCTGGTGGAACACGATCCGTCAGGTGCCGAGCACGAGCGCCGGCCTCATCATATTTGAGCTCGTGCGCAGGAAGTACGGTCTGCGCAGCGACGAAGTGCGCATCAACAAGGACGGCTACGATATCCAGCTGAACTAGGGTAGCTGGCGGGCTGCAGGCTGGCTGGCTGCTGGATTGTATGACGGCGGAGAGGGAGAAGCATGGCTGGCAGGCCGAGGTGTAGGAGCCCGGCGTTTGGGATCGTTTCTCTAGATGTATGGTTGGGAACCCACAGGATTCCATTTCACAAGCATGGCGGCATATTTGTAGCATATTCCCAACTCTGAACAGCCTCTTTTATTGTGCGGGCTACTTATATGCAATGCACCATGTGGTGACGCAAATCTCCAGGAGGTGACATTCGTCCTTCAGACTGATGAGCCCAAATGCTCGGGACAATTCAAATGAAATCGCGGGCCAAAACATCCGACGCAACAAACGCAACAAGATGCCAAGAGAGCAGACGATAGCGTTTATCACTGCCGGCAACGGTCCCAACCACTCACCGGCGCTGCGCCGTCTCAGACGGGAAGGTCGATAGGCGAAGGATCGACAAAGACTTGGGCTAGCCCAGTGTAACGTTTGTCCGCCCCAGCCGTTCCTTGCGGCCATCCCTGCCGAACCCGAACCGAACCAACAGCCAACGACCGTTGGATCGAGATGGAGATATCGACCCGGCGCGGGGTAGCCCTAGCTTCCAGCATCATGTCTCTCGCTGTCTGCCCGGATGCGGCGATCAATAAGAAGGCCGCCACTCCCGCGCTCTGCAGCCACGTCAGGCACACATTGCCCATTCGTCCACGGCAGCGCTCACCTCTCTCTCTCTCTCTCTCACACACACACCACTACACTCGCGCCATATACGTCCACACCATGAGGCGTGCCATGTTTCCCGTAGCGCTCGCGGGCCTCGCCGCAGCGGCCCCCTCACCGGGCCTCCCGCTGGCGATCAACACATGGGGCGGTCCGTTCGTCGCCGCCACCGACGCAGCCTACGCATCCCTCCTCCAAGGCGGCGCGGCCCTCGACGCCGTCGAAACAGGGTGCTCCGTCTGCGAGGCGAACCAGTGCGACGGCTCCGTCGGCTACGGCGGGTCGCCAGACGAAGCGTGCGAGACGACGCTCGACGCCATGATCATGGACGGCGTCACCATGAAAGCCGGCGCCGTGGCCGGGCTGCGCCGCATCAAGAACGCCGTGGGCGTCGCGCGCGTCGTCCCTGAGCAGCACACGTAAAAAAAATTAGGAGCAACCGTAAAAAAAATTCTCGGCGGTGCCACAATGAGATATCAGAGCCGAGCATTTAGGATATTGTATCGCAGCTGAACTTTCAGAGA